TTATTCATAGTTCCAAGAAAGTTCAAAGCACTCCATGCTGCCGGTTCACGAGGCAGGAATGTTTTGTCACGATGAAGGAAAATATCACTGTCCTAAAGGAAGAGAAAATGATTTTTGTGACATCATAAATCCTATTAAGAATATGGTTCAATCCACAACTCACTTCTTTCAAGCCAGGTAGTATGAGAAATAAGTTAAAAGGAAATTTTCAAGATTATGTGGTGCTCGTGGATTGAATTTTAGAGGTGGAATTACTAATTATATTAATCTTGGTCTCCAGTACGATTTTCATATTATCTCAGAAATCTAGCAGGTTGTAGTTGTTACATTGACTACAACCAGCCACCATTAGAACATGCATTTTAATTTAACTTCACTAAAGCACAAAATAGAGCTCCTCGGGTGCCTTTTCTTAGAGGATCTCTATACTGTAAAGGAATCAAAAGTACCTGTAGATATAATGGAAAGCACCCAGAATTCTTGTTTCATCGTATGTTGCCTCTTTGCCTAACATTTTCAGAGTATTTGGTGCATGCGCAGCCATTATGCATCCATCATATACTTCTTTGGCACCATCATTGGAAGCTATGGTACAACCTGCACGGGCTCTTTCTTTTACAGTTAGAATGAAGAGTAGTCCATAGCTATGTGATAGTAACACAATGCAGCTGATTGAAGTTTTTCCCTTGGATAAGCACTAGATTAACTTTATCTACACCACTATCACTTGAAAAAAAATCACAAAATGAATATAAACTAAAAAAACACATGTTCTTATAGTGGTCAATGAGGTGGTGTAAACCTTGGAGACCATGGTTCAAATCCTGGCAGAGACAAAATCAGTACATGATTTCTTCCCATTTGCCTAAGCCTGGCGGAAGAGTAACCTAGTATTGTGCTGATGGGAGGTAACAGTTACCCAATGGCATAGTTGAGATGTGTGCAAGCTAACCCGGACACCATTGTTACACTAATGGATATCAATGAAAACCATCTTCATCATTTCTGGTTTGGCCTTTACAAAGGACCATTTTTAAACACATAAAGTGATGGTGTTTTTTCATTAACTAAATTGCCCTCAGGTAATAGCCTGTCCGTTTTCCAAACAGATATATGCCTATCTACTATTAAGATAAAAGAAACAGCACAGCAAACTCTAGCAAAAAGCCATAAATTAAATCAAGCTAGACCTTCTTCATTTGTCGATACAGAATTTACTTCACAACCAGTTCTTATTTGGCAGCCTCTCTTCTCCAGTTCCTCCTTAACCTGTATTCAGTGCCCCCGTCAAAATCACTCTCAAGGATGATATATGCTTAACATAATAAATCATGCAAGAAGGTGAAAATTGGTAATTGCATGAAGTTTTCCTTTTAGAGAAATAGTAAAAACTGTTGTGGTATCTATGAATTAAAAAAATCACCTTGTTCACATATGCATGTGACCGCCAGTGAGCAATTGAGGGAGACCAAAGAGCTGTAAAGAAAGAAACAAAAGCACCCTTAGGCACAAAGACAATAAAATGATATATGTAATCTACACACGAAGTATGCTAATTGAACAGTAGATAAGAGAAATGAAACCTGCAGAAGATGGTGGTCACGGAAGAATGAAAGAAGGGAATAAGCAGAAAAGCTCATTACTCCTTCTAAGGGACAGGACCAGATTGAAGCGCATATTGGAATCTGTGGAACATTTATGTAAATTGCTTCGACAATATGTTGAATAAAGTAAAAGGCCAATACAAGTATGTATCAAAATCAAGAACTACAACAAACAGCATGTCACCAGATAAGCCTTCTGAAATAACTCTAAATAGCCGTGTGACTTAATAAATTGCCCTAACGTTTCATCGCGATCAATGTCTGGATTGTTGTCAAGTGCTTCAAGATAACTGCAATGCAATCAGAAACGTATTCGTGATGAAATAAATTTCATCGGAGATAGCTCTTTCCTTGACATATAAATAAAGAAAGCATACAAAGCAGAACGATTTAGTCCATTTTAATCAAATGCATGATGTTCAAATGAACAAAGAAGAATATGTGCTCTAAATTTCTAATGAGATCAATAAACCAACAAATTGCTCAATGGAATTGACTAATGATAAGTAGTCACATATATAAAGATAAATAAGTTATTAGTACCTTGTGACATCCTGCTTGAACTTGCTAATTTCTCTAATCATTTGCCAAAAGTATGGATTCAACACATTCTTCTTCTGTGCAAACAAACTAGAGATTCCATTTCGGGTACCCCATTCGCAACCACGGTCTTGGTCTAAGCTCACTGAAAATGACATATCGGAGATCTCTGTATCAACTCCAAGGAAATCAAAAAATTCCATCATGTTTGGATAAGTTACCTGTCAATTACACCGTTTCAGCATTCATCCACATGCTCACCCCCACAAGAGTTCAGTGATTTTGTTGTTACAAACAAAAGTAAAGTGACTTTAGAAGATAATTTGGGATAATTGAGTGACCATTTGTGTAATGAACTCAACAGATAGACTCCTTTCCTCTCCAAAATGAAACAAACAGAAAGCAAAAAATTTCCATCTTCTTCTCTAACTGCTATCTACAATTCACAAAGTTTCTTCAAGTGAAAATTCAAGTTAATTGTTTGTACTCGAATTTCTTTGTCTTTGTAAACTCTTGAAGGAATTCTGCCTTAATCATTGCAGCAACGAAAGTGGGAGGCTCAAATTCCTTAAGGACAGTGACTACACTATCAAGGCCTGATTATTTCGTCCTCATATTCTGCTATTTTTTTATCTAGTCTCAAAGCCAGAGGCAGAACCACAGTGTCGGCTACGGGATCGGTCGAATCCAATAGCTTTGGTTCAAATTATTTATTTGTCTTAAATTTTTCATTAAATATGTACAAGTTATTAATTTCGAATTTAGTAACTTAATAAGATAGAATCCTGAATCCATAAACTTGAAATCCTGGCATTGTCTATGCTCAGAGTAAATTGACTCTCTAGTTTTTACACTCAGGTTCTGCAATATTGTTGGCTCTGGCTCAATTTTTTAGCTCTTATAGTTTTGTTTTCGTGGACTTTAA